CTTGATCGATAGGCGTTTGCGAAATTCTTGAAATTGACTGGAAGTGAACTGCGAACCGTTGTCGGATACAATTATATCCGGTAATCCGTTGCGGGAGAACATGTCTGTCAAAAGTTTCATCATTTGGGTTGTCGTTGGTGGCATGACGGGAACGATTTCTGGCCATTTCGAAAAGGCATCAACAACGACTAAGTAGGTGATTCCATTAATTGGGCCTGCGAAATCGACATGTATCCTGGACCATGGATACTCCGGCTGTGGCCATGGGACCGGCAGTACTTTCGCGTTACACTTGGCCACTTGCTAACATTGTGTGCACTTGCCTACTAAATCCACGATATGTTGGCCCATGAGGGGCCAATAAGTATAGCTTCTGGCGAAGGATTTCATTCGTTTTATACCCGGATGACCAGTGTGGAATTGCTTTAGCACCCTTGGTCTAAGGGACTCTGGTACCAAACATCAAGCATTCATTTACGACGGGGTAAAAAAAATACAATCCAAAGTCAGCCGGTTCTGATTAAGAAAAAATGACTCTCCCTTCCGATCGATTACAGCTGCTATTTGAGCGGCAATTGGAGTTTTTAGTCAATTTACGCACATGCTTTGAAGATGCGACGGAAGTGGATGGATTAATTTCTCAATTGAGCACCGAGCTAGAAAATAATTGCAGCCCTCATGAATCCTTAGCAAACCATATTTCAAACGATACAGCTGTCACTCAAGATCCGCTCGGTGGTCCAGTACTCCCCATTCCAGAAACATGCCCGGTAATGGATCCAATCTCCATTATCCCCGAAACAGCATGTTCAGCTCACACAGAGACCGTGTCTTATTAAATGCTCATGAACTTATTACAGTAGCAGCCCACGAACAAACAGAAAATCAATCAATCAGCATAGTAAAGACAGATGCATCAAATGCCTTCGATCAAATTTCTTACAAAAATGAGGGAACTTTGTCGGATGCATCAAACGTTGATCAAGAACCTAACAAAATTTTGATAAATGCTGATTATCTTAATGACTCATCATCTACAAATGAAGCTCCCAATAAAATTGATAACAAGACTTCAGAAGATTCAAACTCTGATGACCTCAAATTAAATGGCGTTTATCCTCACTACCTGGTCCATTTTACTGAATTCTCTGCTCAATACGTTTTAAATACAGTCAAGTTATTTGTAATTTGGGTATATGTGGACCCAACATTGTTTCGTGGGGGAGGATGAACACGGAAAACTTAAAATCCGGATCTCAACACCCCAATTCAAATAGCATACTTCTCCTTAAGGTTTGCACTGTTTTCAATGATGTCAAGGACTTGCAACTAAACCATTTATGTAAAAGTATAGAAAAGTTACTGCAAGATTTTTGACTTTCCTTGTTATTGGTGATTTACTGTTCTCACATTCATCATGATGAGTGATTGTAAGAAAATAAAACTCAGCTAAACACTAGGGGTTACATAACAATAAGTTTCCATTTGTAAGTACAATTGCTATACAATCTCTAAAACCAGTGCTTTTGTTGGTTATGTGCTACAACACACGTTTTATGACAGATAGATCCAAATAAATGAGGGATTACTTCGTCTTCCCAAATCAGACTTATTTGGGTTTTGTACTTAGCCATGATGTCAGTCAGTTAGTTGACTTTTTGTCCAAATTCGTTGACTATTATTATATAAAAGCATACTGTGACTTAAATGTAGCTTAGACAAATGGTTCCTGGTTAAATAAGCACTATGGAAATTGGTACGTAATTGTAGCAAAGCAACGGTTATCTGACCATCGAAGTTAAAATTAATGTCGTGATTTCAATGCCTACCTCAAAGTATTTGACAATGAAGTATAATCAATACTAAAAAGCTTGTCTAACTTCGTTAAGCATAAAATCGTTAATACGCCATACATGGAATTACTCACTATTACCAAAATAGTTCCAGTTTTGATGCCGACCGATAACTTGCAAGACAGTGCAAAGTCATTGTATGTTAAATCAATTACCTATCACAAAGTTCTCGAGAATAATCGTTTAGCTCTTTTGCTTTCAACTCAAGGTCTGAAATAAATATTCTGTTAAACATTAAGACAGGAACAATAATAACTATTCGTACAATGTGCTTTTCAAAGTACTTTAATAATATGAAAGTTCAAAATAATTCAGCGAGTCGAACGCTTCGCTACAATCTAACACCAGAGCAATGATTTGTTTTTAATATTGACGCGTTTTAAACAACTGGCAAATTGATAAAAAGGAATGGATGAAAAACTTAGCTATGTTCCAAATCTATTCGTTGCTGTCCTACATTTTTAATCCAAGAATCTGATAAGACTGCAGTAATGTGGCTTTAATTATGACTATGAAGAGATATCTACTAATTCCTCCCAACACGCATCACACTGATTCCTCGTCCCTCATATATATATATATATATATATATATATATATATATATATATATATATATATATATATATATATATATATATATATATATATGAGCAACATCAATGAACAAGGAAGTTCTGATGCAGATGTAAAGGTGAGGATTGGCAAAGCAGATTCAACATTCCTACAGTTGAAGAACATATGGAACTCGAAACAACTGTCAACCAATATCGAAGTCACAATCTTCAATAAGAACGTCAAGACAGTTTCATTGTATGGAACTGAAACTTGGAGAACTACCACAACCATCGTCAAAAAGGTATAAGTATTTCTAAACAATTGTCCACGCAAGATACTCAATATCCGTTGGCCGGAAAACATCAACAACAAACTTCTGTGACAGAACAAACCCGACTTCAGCTGAAGAGGAAACTAGGAAAAGACACTGGAGGTGGGTAGGACATACATTGCGGGAATCACCAAACTGCATCACGAGGCAAGCACTAACTTGGAATCTTGAAAGGAAACGGAAAAGAGGAAGACCAAGGAACACACTGTGACGGAAATCGGAAGCAGACATCAAAAGAGTGAATAGCAACTGGAAAAGATTGTCCAGGACAGAGATGGATTGAGAAGGCTGATGAGCGGCCTATTCTCCTCCATGAGGGTCAACAGGCGTAATTAAATAGGTGGTTGCTTAACCCTATTTACGAAAAATTCTTCATTTTCGAACTTTATATCTTTATGTTATAGTTTCATAATGTGACTATTAAAGTGGGAACGCAATGAGATGTGGACTATCACTAGATGATGTAGTAAAATTTGTAAACAACTAATTATAGACTGAATTCATTACTCCGCAAGTACAAATGCAAACACATTTTATTATTAATACTCATGAAACACCTAGATCAAGATAACGTTGAGTAAGCTATTAATAAATACATAGTGAAAGGCATGAAACTAATATTCTACGGCAAAGCTAATTGTTTCTGGACTAATTCTCCTATAGGCACTAAATATTTGAAGATAAGCCCACAAACTTAAGATTTATTAACGAATATTTTGTATTTAGTGACTCAAACACTACATGGATTAAATTGACCTGAAGTTATCCAAACTAATAATAAGAAAAGCTTGCTGAATATTATGGCTGAACTAAATACTTTCAGATAAAATATACTGAGATTTTACGACAAACAATTGCAATGGGCAACACAAAACCAAGATCCATCGGAAGGTGAAAAAAACAGAATTATTGATATCCACCAGACGGTAGGATATTTGGTTTCGTATCTAATATAGTCTGGTTTGTTAAAGGTATATATATAATAGCTATATCAAAAGAGCATGGATTCATTCTATTTCGTTTGGTTCTCTCCAACTACATGCATCCCGCAATATTTAAAGGTTGCTATGATCGAACGTCAATACAGTCTAGCAGTAATATGAAAAAAGTGACAGACCAAGATATTGCAAATATATATTTTTTATATGAAAGAATATTTTTCAAGATTGATAGTAACTTGAGATGAAAGGGCTAGAAACAAGTGGTTGCGCAATAGACAGATGCTCATAATAAGGATAAAACGAATAAAGTTCATTTTGGTGAAATAAGGCTAACAATCTAGAAGACATTAACAATACAGGCGTACTGATGCAACTAATTGAAAAAGTTGGATAGCCTTTAATGACGTATTGAAAAGCACGTTTGTCACCAGAGCAAAGAAAGACAAGAAACCATCTCTCTTTGGACACAAATTAGTTTTCTGATGCCTGATAGAGATGGGTTTAGTGAACTTCAAATGACTGGAGTTTGGTTGTTTATTAATCTCCTTGAAGGATTTTAAAGTATCGACTTGATGTCCTGTGTCCAAAAGATATTTAGTGTTCGGGTTATTTAAAATAGTACTTTCTCTTGTCCGAAGGGATTTGGGAGCCAGCCCCCATTCTTGTTCGGTTAATGTAGCTCGTTTGAAAGGTGCAAATAAATTTATAGACACGGAGGCAACCAAATGAACTTCTCTCATTTTATTCTTATTATCGGTGTTCGTTCATTACGTAACTGATTGTTTCTAACCCTTTGATCTTGTGTTACTATCAATGTTACAAAATATTCTTTCACATAAGATATACATAATTAATATTTTATTTAGTCTGTTAAATTTTTATACAACGTTGTTACATTATATGAATGTGTGATCACCACAACTAAATAAACAATTTCATGTAAATAATTTGAACCCACTTTGTAATTTTTACTTTTAAATACTATAAGTTGAAGGCAACTAACGAGAACCGAACGAAATAAGATAAATTCATGTTATCATCTTTAAAATTCTTTCTCTTGCTCTCTCCAAAATGATAAAAAACCATATACATAGTTATATCCACACACTACCAAATCAATTCGGTTACTTGTCATCTTATCCTGTATCTTTATATAGAGTTAATCGTAGATAACGATATTTTTCATACTTTAAAAAAGACAATATTAATATCAAGGCAGTAAAAAAGTAAAGTTTATTTTCAAGAACATCTGACAATGCCATGGAGGGAGGTAAACGTAAGACTTAAATAATCTGGCGACCCAAATGAAGTACTTTTGTCAATTGAGACTTTGATCTTCGAAAAGTTTTTGTGGGACTTCATCCTGAAAGAAAATCAAATGGAACTAATAAAAAACCTCTTGAATTATATCTTGTGCATCTATCACAGAAAGAATTTCTTTTGCCCCTGTCTCTTGTACTTCACCAGCTAGTAAATATTCATCCAAAACAAAGTAAGCTTTTTCAAAGTGGAAGATTATGTCCAATTCACAGACCTTAAAAATACAATTTTGTGAAATATGAATTACATTTCCAAAATATTTATCCAGAATCTCCACGTAACGATGAATAATTTCCAATGTAATCAATTCATTATCTGTCTGATCAATAGCGCACACAAAATAGAGACTAGCATATCTGTTAAAGTGTAGTTGCAATAAATTATAAACACACCTCCTGTACACAATCTTAAGGTCTTGCCATTCTAGAAACGAGCACATTTTTGGTTTCCTTGCAAAGACCAGAGAAATAATTTCGCGCAAATACTTTTTCTTTTCTTTCTCCGTATAAGAGCTATACCATTTTTGAAGTCGCACTTTACCTTGACGACTAAACAATAACATAAAATTTATCTACACAACTTGTAATGCAAAATCAGAATGTACACTAACCATAGTGCGAATATACAGTGCAGAATGTAAGATGGAAATAATGCGGGAATAAATGCAGCATAAAATGCTTATAGTATCTGGAAAATAAATAGAGGCAAATATTAATTTATTGTCCAAAGGACTGATATTACTAAAGAAATAAAATATTTCACTGTAGAAAAGTTGAAGTAAAAACTAGTATACAACCAATCTATTTTAAGAAACAGGATATCACCGTGAAATTACCATTGCATGATCATATAGGTAGAAAATTAAGTTTTTATATCTGTATATCTAAGATAGTACAATGTCAATTGTCTAAGATGAATTTCTTTCAAGTTAAAAACTACCTGAGATATGAATAATAATGGTATCCAGACTACCACTCACCAGGTCAAAGCCTTATATTAACTAGAGAAACGGTAATTCACTAATCCTCACATGATACACAAAACATAATAACTGCTAGTATTTGAATGCCAACTTTGCATTATATTTTAATGAAATCACTGAGCAGGTATAAGAAAAGCGTTCTACTGCGAGATTTCTGTACATCAACTTCAACTTACATGACAATGCCTATATGTATTCATTGGAATACTGCGTACGTTTTATTATTGATTATCCGTGACTACAAACACAAACAAAATGGATCAATTTACTACAAAAAAGCATCGACTGGAATTTCACCCAACTTAAAGGCTAATTTCATTCCAGAATTGCGGGGCCTTACTTCAAATATCCAAACCTTTCCCCGTTATAACACATATGATGAATACCGAATATCCCTTTGGTGAAAATACCCATGTACAAAGACTTGATTTTCTATACTTTATTTTCTTTTAGATTACTAAAAACCTGAACGGAATGGAAGCACAGAAAGATAGAAATAAAAACAAACTAACTCAAATATTACCAAATAAGCACTTGTGAAACAGGACATGTGTTGGAAACTCAACATTAAACTACGATGGCTCCGATAAACCATTCTAATCAGTTCACATTAGTTCAAGTTTTCGTATCACACCTATTTCAACTATATGTGCACTGCAAAAGAGACATTTATTTTAAGTAATTATTATTACTATTTCTCATCTGGGTACTGAAACCTCAAGTAGTTTTAGTTGAACTTCATTCGTCAAAGTAAAGGATTTTTTCTTTGGCTGATTCTTTCCCGCACTTTACATGTGGTTAAATTACACGGCGTGACAGTAACTAAATACGGTTACTAAAACTGAGCGCATTGACTGACTCATACAGACACGGCATGGTTGTTAAGGTTTTACACCTATTTATAGATTATATTGCAGAACTTTAAGGTTATGAAATATAAAGTCGCCAAATGACAGTGTAGAATGATCATTATTTTTACCGTGAATAATGCCAAGACCTTAATGATCGTGGCTTACGGCAAATACGTATGAAGTAACAACCTGTACCTTAAAATGTGAACAACAAGTTCTATAATCCTTAATAGTCAAATGAGTGAGATTCTGTCCAAGAAAAATTCAGATCAATCTTTGCAGAAAACGTTTGGCTTTTCATATCTTTAATACACTGATTGAAAAGTTTTTTTCAGAATAATAATGCGAGATTGTTTCTACATTTACTCTCATATTGCAAGTAGGGAAATAGACCAGGCGTATATGTTGCCCATACTGTTACATGAGGGAAAACTGGGGAAGAAATATATGCTTGAACTGTAAAAAAAAATGAATACTTAAGCTGTTCTGCACTTAGCAAATAACTATAAATTACAACCCGAATCAGGGTAACGTGTACAACACACCAGTTTTGTGCAAATAAATGTACCGTTTACCATGTCTCAAATAAATGCGAGAAAACTGGACAATCGGAACATAAGTAGACAATTTTGCGTGTATTTAGGCTAAAAAAGACAATTCAGAGACAGTTAAAACACAGAGCGACATAAAGAAAAAAATCCGCATTATTTCCGCAGACAGACGAAATAGTAGACATTTTATCGCGTTTCCCTATTATTTCCCCTTTACTTTCCAACTTAGTTCCTCCTGTATTTTCCGTTTGCTATCATTTTCCTTTTTATTGTTTGCTTGGGCTACAGGATTTTTATGACACTACATCGAGTAATACATTCTGCTCTGAAAAAACGAAGGAATTTAAGTGTTCTTGATACAACTTCAATGAAGTATGGTAATATTACATATTTTCAGTAACAATTGGATGAACTTACTGGATTATGGCAGTAAACTGATCATTTCGACTACCGCGCCTAAGGTCAGATTTAGATACAGTACAAAATGCAGGTAGTTACGCCCTTGAAGGTCAAACAACGAGCGTGCTACTAAAGCGTAAGGTAAATGAATGAGCAACTCCAATCCTAAGTTGCAGAACGCAGCCAAGTTTATTTTGAACCATGTCTAAATTCTGCAAATATCGAAAACCATGCAAATTAGGCGTTTAATTAATCCAGCAACAGTACTCGCTGAACTACAAATCACTTCGAACCCCACATCCTATGTACAATCAAAAAATATACGATACATGAGTGACCTAATATTTATTACTTTTCCCTCTGTGTTTTTAAAATTTATTCTTGCTTGATGGCTGATATCAATTTACGGTAGAAACCATTGCCATAATGAATCAACCTGTTAGTGTACTAATAGAAACAAACTATCATCACAAATACCTTACCGAACATTATGCATTCGGATTCTTGAAGTATCCTAAACAATTGTCTGTATTTACTCATTAGTTTATCTGATGAAACCCAACACCTAATGCCCTTGAATAAATCCCTTAAGTAAGTAATGTTACAGGTCTACACTAGCGTTACTAGACATGCTGCGAGTTAAACTATCTAATACCAGTTTCTAACTCAATATTATCTCAATCTAAGGCCAGTATTTCCCTTCATATATTCAAGTGCACTGTGAACGTTTAACGGAACGTCGACTCTTCTTTTTTTTATTCTTTTTTGTTCAGAAGCTCCACTTCCACGCTACTGCGCATGATCCCCTAGCACATAAAACACTTTTTAACTAAATGCGCAGCGTTCAGGCCAAGCTCTGACCATCACCACTCGATTTGGCATGCTCATCAGATCACATTTATGTGCGCCATACTGCACATCTAATATAATAAGCAATCGACTGAAATCCCGTAATACTTAATGCATCAACAATTGTTGAAATATAAATTCGTGCTCCTTCACTTCTGACTTTAGGTTCAATTGGCCTCAAGCTATTCGTATAAGAAATTTTTGAAAATGGTGTTGCTTAACAGGGTGCAACCGAATATCCTCTAGTCACGTCGCCTTATGTTTGGGATTGAGGATGCCACAAGTATTTGGATTTTGATAACGCTTTAGCTAGTAATACATTCTGCTATATATCGTACCTCTTCAAGCGAAATCAAAACACAAATACGAGGAGGTTAGAAGATATCAAGGATAGACTAATCTAGACTGGGTACCACTCGTGATCCGGTGTGGATACATGACCGAGCGCCTTCATTTGATGAGTCCATTAAAACTAACTTAACTTCATTTTCAGGAACTAGTGGGCGGGCTTTCAACAAGAAGGAATATCTTATAGTTATGATATGACGTTTAACAATTTTTGAGATATATGGTTATCATGGCGTTGATTTTCTAAGCCCAAGTTACATGAAGTAAAAGCTGGTAGAGCATACAATCACACATAATGGATAAAAAGTGCATTTAAAAAATACCTCGTCTCAAAAATGTTTTGTTTTTACAAAATGACTGACAACAACTTTGAGGTGACTGACAACGAAGCGAACATTCGTCTTGACACCGGATATTTGCAGCAGGCGCATTTTTGACTAATTACAGTTGCTTCTAGCACATGTCAGTTTTACAAAATGGTAGAATAAAATTTCATCTAGTGAAATATCTAAACACATTTGATGTGAGTCCTTTGTATTCTATCACGAGATGTTAATTAACTTTATCATGAAGTTACTTTTACTGTTGAATGGACACCAGAAGCTTTGTCGATTTAAAGGGTGTTAATGTGAAACCTCACAAAATATATATTACATCATCGCGCGCAATTCAAAAAAGACAGTGGTATTTTTCCTCGCTGAGTAAATTCTATTGTTTTGATCGTTTATACGTATCAAAACTACTGTTTTTCACTTTAGTTGTGTTTCTTTCAGTTAAAGTATTCGATAAGATTATCGTTTCTGTTTCTAAAGTAATTTGTTGTCAGTACTTTTGAGTACTCTGTTTTTTTTATAGTATCTGTTAGTACTTTTGGTTCTAACGATCCACAGTTTTCCACTTTTATTGGTCATAGATTATTTTTTTGTCCCCAAAAACTCATAGTTTGTAATATATCTTGTGGAGCTTGTATGCAGATGTATACGTGGGCCTTTCTTACCACACACGCACATAGTTGATTGACGAATTTATCGATTAAATGCTTAAATATTTCGATGGCAGTCAACTGACGAACTATCGATTAAATGTTTAAAAGCTCCATGACAATATCGATGTATATATAATTGTATATATACGTTTTAAAATTTTCTTGTAAAAGTTTGCTGGTTTCGGGTTGTTGCAGAATATGCTTCTCATTCCAAGCTTGGTCTTCTCTCTCTAGATGGCGGGCTGGGACGCGTCAATAGTTAGCCTACTGGACCTTGGTCACCGAATCCTCGATTTCGTTCTCAAACTACGTGAACCCGTGATAGCTCTCTCTCATTCAAACCTTAACATTTTGGTTCTAACGATCCACAGTTTTTCACTTTTTTGGTCATAGATTATTTTTTTGTCCCTGACTATTTTTGCATCTAGTTCTTTCTAAAAAAACCGGTGTTTAAATGACTGGACAGTGCAAAAAAGTAATTGCCAACGCCTGAGCTGTCGTTATCCCGTTGAAAGCGGCATGCAGTGCGATGAGTGCAAAGAATGGTACCACGAAGTTTGCACAAATTTAATGCCTGCAGCTTTCAAACGGTTCAGTAGGAATGGTTGCGTATGGCTTTGTCAACAGTGCTTTTTGGATGCTAACAGT